TATTATTTTATAAAACATTTATACCTCACTTTCATTCTAGTAATACAGTAGAATCTCCGCTATTAAATTCGTTTAAATTTAAACCGTACCGTAAATTGTAGTTAAAAATCTTTATCTATCTACAATTTATCTAATAGAACCGGTTACAAAACATTAAGATCGAGTAAAACTTACCACATTCAAAGCTAACAGTGTATTTTTAAGTTTGTTTATTGAAACAGCAGTGCATCGAGTGAACGGAACTACAGTAGGTCCATCCGCACACGAAGCGACTGCTACGTGGAAACGATTATCAACAAACCACAGACTTATTATCGTTGTTTCAATTGTTATCTGACTAGAAGCGCCTCGTTTTAAGCAACTTCAATAATAATTCAAAATTGATCTTTCAAATCGCAGTACAGCATAAGAAGTGTTCGTTGAGGAGGGGGAAGGAATTGTTAGTAATGCGAACCACCAGTCCCATTGCTTGCAATATACCTCGTCAGGTCGATCTCCACGTGGTCCTTGGAAACCAACATGCTGAATTATAGGTATATTCAACACGATGGGCAAACTGACCTGCCTTTTCATTCTCATCTATCATCCCTCACTGGTGCCACACCAGCGTATATCGTTGGCGCGGGAAAGTTTACCATTCCATTATCATCCATTAAAAATATATATGTGAAGTTTTTTTTTTTTTTTTTTTAATATTTTAAGGGCTTTTACCTTCTTCAGGTATATCAGTCCTATTGTACCCTGAATTGATTTCTCCAACAAAACTTTAACCTTCCCTAGAAAAGAAAAAAATGGGCATCAATAATTTACAGAGATGTTCAAAAATTTCTGGTTTAAGTTCAGCTAACATAGTTTGAATAAGACCAACATTCAATTTATTTAAGTTAAAGTGGCGCATGAATTCTTTTTTTTTCGTGTTAATGACACTCTAATAGAATATGATGCACATCATCGATGACAAGTTTGACAATGGGGTGACAAACTTTATCATATGTGCAAATTTTTTTGATGGATAATGACCAGAACGTAAACGAACAGCTAATTTAATACAGTACCTATTGATTTTATATGTGAAGTTGTTTTCATTTATATAAATCTTTTTTATGGCATAAATCCGTCATTGAACTTGTTTTTTTTTTCATTAAGGACTCTATACCCTATGACTTTACTGTACAATAAAATGTTACAAACAAACAAACCTATAATAATAGCTGTCGATTGACTTAATATTATGAGTTGTTACTATTACTTATAATTCATAATTTAATTCATTCTTTATTTTAAAATAAACGTCAAGTTAAAGTACGATAAAATTATCATTAATTATGTGTTATTGGAGATAGATAATAAAACAAAAACATAAAAAAATTAAACAAAATAATAACAGAACTTTACTTAGCTACAAATTTATTCACTGAAGCATTTATTTACATTGAAAAAGAAATAGGTAACAGAAGAAAAAAATACAATAAAAATGTAGAAGCTATACTTTTTAAGCGTGTCATTGTGCGATAAGCCTTAAACCATTCGTAGTCTATCCAGTATCTTCAGATTTACGATTGCATTACACTCGACATTTGCATTAAAGTGTAATTATAACAAATCATAATGTTTGAACTGCATTTAGCACGCTTGTTGTAATCCGCAGGGCAATATTCTATTGGCTTCAAATTATCAATTTACAATTTTGTGTTCAATGTGTCTAATAATAAAACTCTATTTTCTCTGACATATATTATTATTTGTAATCAATTATTCGCGTAAATTGTGACCTTAGGTTTGACGTGTTTTATAGGACGCCACTGTTAAAGGTTCAGTGCGATGGATTTGCTCCTGTGTAGTTACGCAAAATGGTTACTTACTTAACATCTCAGTTAAAATATATCTTAATAATAGTATAATAATAAAAATGAACTATATATAAGAGAAAGTATTATCATTTTCTAATAAGTTTTATTTATTTGAAAAATAAAACAAAATTACAGTACGTAACCGAGGGTGGAAAGGAATTGTTAGCAATGGAGTTTGACAGCTCGATTGCTAGCAATATGTCCTATTAGGTCGATCTCTTCGCGGTTCCCCCTGGAAACTATCATGGTTAATTCCTGATGAATTCATCATGATGGGCTAATTGGCCTGTTTTCATTCTCATCTATCACCCTTCACTGGTGCTCCGTCAGCGTATACTATTAGCGCAGGCGGGGTTACCATACCATTTTCGCCCATCAAACTAAAAAAAGTAGGTAACCGTATGGTCCCAGTATAGAATAGGCCACCCCCTTCCTGTCTCCTCTTACAACACTCATGGGAAAGAAAGAGGTAGCTCATTCTATGCCGGAACTATACGTACAACCCGTCCACCATTTATCGTTCAAATCCATTCAGTAGTTTTTGCGTAAAAGAGTACCTAACAAACACCCATCCATCCATTGTTACAATCTTTCGCATTTTTTTATACAACTTAGAATGGCAAACAAGCTGACGGCCCACCTGATGGAAAGTGGTAACCGTCGCCTATAGACATGTGCAGTACCATGGACATAACAGAGTCACAGATAATATAATACTATACTAGTAACAAAGTATACTGTTTCGCCCATGATACCCCCCATGCGTTGCCATTCCTAAAGATTCAGGTGTTATTCCTCTGTACCCTGTAAATTCACTACCATATCCCACCCTTCGAACCGAAACACAGCCGTGCAAACAACTGCTTCACGGTAGAAACACGAATGGGACAGAGATAATGGACAGACTTATAATGTTAATAGAGTATTACTTTAAAATGTCCATTCTCCGTCTATTAATTACCATTCAATAAGGACCGTCAAGTGGCTAAAGGCTCTACACGGTTCTACCATCACATATCTCTCTCCTTATCTACTTTCATAAATATACATTCAACATTTCTAGAAACTTATTTATTTATTTATAAAAGACACACCAACAATATGCTCACAATAATTAAGCAGACAATGTACAATGTTATTAGTAAGTAAAAGAGAACAACTACTATTCAAAAAATGCTTAAATCTAAGTTTGAACAAAAAATCTTACTCCTCACTACCAAGCTTAAGGCCATATGAACATATCAATTAAAGGCATATACAGCTCTCACAGATAAGCGTCAATGTATACTAACTAACAATTATACAATTAGAAAAGACCTAACTACCTAATCCATCCAATCCAACTTATATATACATATAGTATATATACAGTTATAATATTTATCTATATTATATTGATTTTTTTTTAAGTTAACGATTAAGAATAAAGAATGAAAAAGAAAAAAAAATATATTTTTTCAGTTTTTTTTTTTCAAGAATTTTATGCTAACGCTTCGTAATTAGCCCAAATTTACTAATTACTAATTTTTACTTTTAACTTCGTACGCGTAGCCAGAACATGTTTACAATCCGGGATAAATAGGGGAAAGGAATTGTTAGTAATGGGCTCTAATTTCCCCATTACTAGCAATACGCCTTATCAGGTCGAACTCAACGCGGTTCCCCCTGGAAACTAAGAAGGAATGATAGGTGAGAATAAAAAGACAAGTATTGTAAAATTAATTAACAAAATCAGTTTTTTTGACGGATGACAATGGAGTGATAGCCCCGCCTGCGCTAACGGTATACACTGACGAGGCACTAGGAAGGAATCATAGGTGAGGATGAAAAGTCAGTTAGCCTATCGTGGTGAATACACATGGAATTCAGCACTATGGTTTCCAGAGGGGATCACGTGGAGGTCGAGTTGACAGGGTATATTGTTTGCAATGGGACTGGCAGTATTACTAACAATCCTTCCCCCCCCCCCCCCCGAGGATACTGTTTGACTGATTCGTAAATCATCAGACAGTAATCAGTAGTCATCACAAATCATCATGCGTAGGTGAACAATAAGTAAGGAATTTTGAAAATTTTATACGTATAAAAAAGTAAAACTTCCAAGTCGCCGGCAAAATCTAGTATATTTACATTTAAATTATATTAAGTATAAAATAAATCTTAATTTATAGTTCCTTAAACACACTGTAGATGCAATTTAGTATCAATAATCAGAATTCACGAGCCGAGATCGTAGTAAATCAATCTTTCATTCAGAGCGCCGTCCGATTTCATGCTGGCTTCAATAAATTAGGTAATATATTTACGACACTTTATAAATTAGATTATAGAATATTATTATAAATAATCACATTATATGATATTATATTGTCATTATTGTAGTAACAGAATACAAGAAAGTTTATTTAAGTAGATTCAAATATCACTTAGTTACTAAACCGAATTAAATAAATTTAAATTATCGATAGATATAGCTAACGAATTAGCAATCTGAAGTGCCAGTGGACTGGAAATCGTAGAAACCATTACCGTTTTTTTTCTGGATGAAGCACGTCAAGTAGCTTATCGTGACGAATTCAACAGGAATTGTTCACGATGGTTTCCAGGGGGAATCACGTGGAGGTCGACCTAATAGGGCATATTGCTAGCAATGGGGCTGTCAAACTCCATTGCTAACAATCCTTTTCCCCTCACCCATGACCGTTAGAGTAGATATGTTTTGGAGTGGAGACCGTGAATCAGCAAGCGTAGTTTGGGGTGAACTGTCGCTAGAAATGACATACGTAGGGTAGCTGGTAATAACTGGCAGCTAAGGAGGGGGAAAAAATTTATAGTATTGGGGATCTAACAGCTCCATTACTACCAATATACCCTATCAAGTCGACTTCCACTCGGTTCCTTCTGGAGACTACCTTTTTTTTTCTTTTATGCAACTTAGAATGGCAAACAAGCTGACGGCCCACCTGATAGAAAGTGGTAACCATCACCTATAGACATAATGATAATACTTTTTTCGATCGATGGAATTTACTCCAGTGTTAATCCAATATCAATAGTGTAATGATTGATGCATGTTAATAGTGCAATTTTTCTTTGAGGATTTTTTTTTTTATAGATTTTTTTTTTTATTTTCGTCTTTTTTTGTTACAGATTCATCACACAGAAGACTTGATCCTTTAAGAAGTACAAAATTATTAAGGTAACTTATAATATACAGAAGCATTTGTGACAACCATATCATCCTTATCGGGTCGACCTTCATGCGGTCTTCCTGGAAACCATAGTAGTTTCAGAATCACTATATAGTATAAAACAAAGTCGCTAAGTAAGATAAATTGCTGTACAGATGAGAGCTTTGAGAAGTATGTGTGTCGCTTTCTGTCGTTGGTTTGGTCATTTGGAGAGGATGGATGAAAGAAGTCCCAAGAATGAATGTATGCTTAAATCTTTAAAACTATGCAATTTGGCGTTCCATTGGATTTGACAGATATGTATGTATGTATGTACAAAGTCGCTGTCGCTTTCTGTCCGTCCCTATGTATGCTTAAATATTTAAAACTATGCAACGGATTTAGAATCGGTTTTTTTAATAGATAGAGTGATTCAAGTGGAAGGTTTATATGTATAATACATGCATAATATTGTAGAGAAGCACTGATAATTTTAGAGGTTTCTAATGTGATGTGATGTAATGTGCACCCGTGCGAAGCCGGGGTGTGTCGCTAGTATTATTATAAACAATCTATGAGATTGTTTATAATAATACTAGCGATCTGCTAAACATAAACTTTCCTATAAGATGGATTTTACCAGTAGTAGCCACCAGCAAGCAGTTTGACAACCGCAGTTAGGATTTGGTAACATTTTAAGTGGGATGCTGCTTCCCATCCCTTGACCATTAAGTTCACTTAGTCGCCTCTTATGACACCCATGGAAAAGTAAGAAGTGGCCTGTCTATGTCTATGTCGGGACCACACGGCGAATCCCAAGGGATTCCCGTGTAACAGTTAACAACAAGTAACACCGTGTAACATTAATAGAATATATTAACTTTTAGACTTTCTCGCCGTATGTTTTATGGTTTATAAGAGACGGGAATTAACGCCATTATTTAAGCAAACTATGATGTTTAAAAGACGGCCGTGTGGTCCCGGCATAGAATAGGCCACCCCTTCCTTTACCGTGGGTGTCGTAAGAGCTGACTAAGGGGTGAGGGGGCGAGGGATGAGCAACACCGTCCCTTTTAAAACATCTCCAAAACCTAGCTACGGTTGCCGGGGGGAAAGAGATTGTTGGCAATGGAGTTTGACAGCCCCATTGCCAGCAATATGCCTTAATAGGTCGACCTACACGTGGTTCCCCCTGGAAACCATCGTGAACAATTCTTGTTGAAATCGTCACGATGGGCTAACTGTCCTGCTTCATCCTCACCTATCATCCTTCACTGGTGCCCCGCCGGTGTATTCTGATAGCGCGGATGGGGTTACCATTCCATTATCACCCATTAAAAAAAAAACTACGGTTGCCACCTGCCCGCCAAGCGTGGCAACTACTGGGAAAACCTCCTAAGGGGGAGGTTTATGTTCAGCAGTGGACAGTGGAAGGCTGATATGATGATAATAATAATTATATATAATAAGTTATATATAAACTTAAGTTTGTCTAATACTTTTGTTTCAAAATTGTCACAATATCACCGCATATTTACGGAACGTACAGAACGGAACCAGATACAAAAGTCGATTGCTTGGGTACCTCTGTCCCATCCGTGTTTCAACCGTAAAGCAGTTATGTCTGCATGGCTGTGTTTCAGTTTGAAAGGTGGGATATGGCGTAAATTTATAAGGTACAGAGGAATAACATCTGAGTCCTCAGGAATGGCAACGCATGGGGGGTATCATGGGCGAAACAGTATACTCTGTTATGTCCATGATACTGCTCATGTCTATAGGCGACGGTTACCACTTTCCATCAGGTGGGCCGTCAGCTTGTTTATTTATTTATTTATTTATTTATTCATTAGTACAAATATGTGTACATGGCGGACTTAATGCTAAAAGCATTCTCTCCCAGTCAACCATAGGGAAGTGTCAGAATACTCGAATGCGGTACTACTAATTATTGATATACATACGTACTAAAATTACAAATATAAACGAATAAATATATATAAATAACAAATATACTTACACATATATGACATATACTATATTATACACGGAATTGAGAATAATATAAAGTACTTACTGCTCGGATAAAAATAAAAAGTGTGCGTTAACGCTTTTTTTGAAAGACGGTTTAGTCGGTAGTCTCTTAATGGCATCAGGAAGCGCGTTCCAGAGTCGTGAAGAATGTAGGAGAAAAGAGTTTGAAGCGTAACCAGTACGGTTTTTTGCCTTTTCTTCTTTTTCAGTTGTTTGCCTATATCACCGCTCTATCCGCTGACATTGATGCTCCTTTCCACTTTGGAGGTTGCTGGAAGAGAACTCTTTTAGAGTTAACCTCGCCTTTGTACATTTAATTACCTCTGTCATATTTTTTATGTATAAATAATGTGTAATAAATAAAGTATTAAACTAGTACTAGTACTCGACATGTAATGTGGTCGATACATCGAGACAAACTATGTGTATTTAAATTATTACATACATACATGCATATCTGTCACGCCTCTCTCCCATTAGGGTAGGCAGAAACAATGGAACGCCAAATGCTTCGATTCAAACAAACCTCTTTCGCTTCTTCTTTAAATTATTAATTTATGTATATTCCAAAATCAGTCTACGATTTCTAAAAGGCATCACTTGTTTATTCTTTTAGGTACATAATTAGATTCTGAGTTCCAAGAAAATGTTTATAAGTATATACCTACATACAAACAATGATGCAATATGATAAAAAAGTATAGTGGTCCCAATTCGGCATAATTATGTTAATTACATCAAATGCTGATATTTGATCATATAATATATATATATATATATATATATATATATATATATATATATATATATATATATATATATATATATATATATATATATATATATATAACATAATCTTATATGATCAAACGTCCCGGCTTCGCACGAGTGGACATTTTTACAACATTTCAAAAAATGATTATTGGGACATAACGATAATAGTTGGACGTATAGTATCACCGAAGTTTTTTGTTGTTATTGATATTTTCTTCAATACTGTAGAACACACAAGGAAATATGACAAATCTAATAAAAAAAAAATACAGATGAATGGAAAAGAGTAACTACAGTGAAAGAAAATGTGATTTGACATATATGTATAAAGAAAGATGGCCTAGAACCTCTTCACGCTAGAGAGCACCACCCTCATTAGCACAACAGTAATATAATATTTCAAATCCAGCATACCTATGATTTTTTATGGGTGAATAGTATGGTTGCCTCGCCTACGCTAACGGGATACGCTGGCGGAGCACCTGTGAAGGGTGATAGATGAGAATGAAAACAGGCCAGTTAGCCCATCATGACGAATTCATCAGGAAATAACCATGATAGTTTCCAGGGAGAACCGCGAGGAGGTCGATCTGGTTGGGTATATTGCTAGCAATGGGATTCTCGGTCTCCATTACTAACAATCCCTTTCCCCCCAGCATACCTATTTAGATGACATCAAAATGTGTAAAAAAAACAGACCTTTTAACTGACAATACCTTTCGGTATTCCTGCAAACGCATAAAATGGGCACATTAAAGGAAAATATTAACAGCGACGGTTGCTAATAAACCACAGGAAATTATGGTGGTAATAATTACCACATAACGTCCCACTCTTCCATAAAAAGTATTATGTTTATATATTCACATTATTGTACATATAAAATAGATACGTAGATAGATATATAATTTTTTTTTTTTGCTGAGTGAAAATGGAATGGTGACCCCACCCCGCCTGCGCTAATGGGATACGTTGGCTTCATTCTCGAATGATATTCATAATGGGATTCATTCTCATCTATCATGTACCACTGGCGCCCCGACTGTGTATACCGATAGCGCGAGCGGGGTTACCATTCCATTATCACTCATTAAAAAAAAAAAACTAAACCGTAACAAGTAATACGTGAACGAGAGAGCAAAAGTTAGTAAGCCATATTTTTTATGAGACATAACTATAACACCTAATTGTAGCCGGTCGACGTCGGCAGAGCAAAACTAGTAGTTACCAGCTAATAACTGGCTGTTAGCGAGTAGTTGCCGCTAGATCTGTTATTAGACAGTTTTTTCATCTCCAGGTAATACCGCCGCGGTAGGTTGTGACGTCACTTTGAAGTTCAAAAGATGGATACTGTAATTTAAAGATTTTGATGTCATCTAAATAGGTATGCTGGATTTTAAATATTTTTATTAATATTACTGTTGTTCTGATGAGTGTGGTGCCCTCTAGTATGAAAACCAGAGAAATTGAGAACCACTTTTCTGAAGTAGGTGAAATATTTAGTCATATTTCGAACAATCCCATAGAACAATCCCTTCAAAAGATGCTGAAGACTTTCACTTTATATAGGTTTAATTGGTCCCATAGTTGTTAATTTTTTTATGCAACTTAGAATGGCAAACAAGCTGACGGCCCACCTGATGGAAAATGGTAACCGTCGCCTATACACATGAGCAGTACCATAGACATAACAGAGTATACTGTTTCGCCCATGATACCTCCCATGCCTTATTATTAGCTGTGAAGGAGAGTTTTCCAGTGGTTACTAGGCTTTTTTTTAATGGATTATAATGGAATGGTAACTCCGCCTGCGCTATCGGTATACACTGGCGGGGCACAAGTGAGAGGTGATAGGTAAGGATGAAAGCAAGTCAGTCGGCCCATCCTGACGAATTCTACTAGAATTAACCACGATGATTTCCAGGGGGAGCCATGTGGAGGTCGACCTGATAGGGTGTATTGCTGGCAATGGGTTTTAGTATATTTTTTTGAAAACGCATATTCAATAAATAAGTCTTGGACTGTTTATCGCGCTTCGTTTTTTTAATCTAAAACTAGATGGTGTGATTACAAGTAGATTTTGAAATTGATTAAAATTTGATTTGATTTGTGATGAATCAAAATGTATGTATATGTATATGTATGTATGTACATCTATAAATATAGGATTTACTGAACGTTTGTAGTGACCAGAGATAAACGGTTGTAATCAGTCGTTATT